TAATTATTATTATTAATAGTTAAAACACCCCAGCTGTCTGGCATTAGAGTTAGAAAACTTCTCCACCACTTATTCCCATCTATTTTATGCAACACCCTGGGCTGGACTGTAAAGAAAGAGCGTAGCAAGCAACACTTGCCTTGTGGGACACCCATATATTTTATATATATATATTTACTCATTAAAAGTATTTCACACCAAAGCAAGAATCTTAAGTACCCACCAAATTATTTTTAACAGAGCAATTTGATACATCTTACTGAATTCGACACCGGTCAATTCTTCGGATCTACCTCCTGCAGCTGCATCTTTTGTCCGAACGAGGAACATTTTAGTTTTAGTAAGAGTTTTACGGCACTTGCAATACAATAAGGTCATTTAAGTGCCGAAGATTAAGGTTGTTACAAGAGAGCAACAAACACAAAAAAGGAGGAGGAGAGATAGGACGATAGCTGTTTGATAGGAAAGAAGGAGCAAACCGCACCAGAGCACCCGCTAACTAAACCAGGAATGAGGAAAGTCGGGGAGGAACAAGACGATAGCGACTTAAATTATAAACCGATAATCAGTGATACTCTTACTTCCGTATCATTAATTGTGTAATTAAAGTGTATACATTTTTGTCTTCCTTGTGGGGATCTTTGCCTGGCCCTCTACCTGGGACTGTGCGATACGCCCCTGATAACTTGAAATGCCGGTCTGTTTAGTTTAAAAGTATAGAATAACATTTGGGATTTGAAAAGATTTTCTGTCGAAGCGTTATTTTGATTTGTTTTATTTTGTCTTTCTCGATGGTCTATAAAAGAACAAGAAAAACAACGCTGGTTTCACATCTAAAATCGATGAAGCGGCTCAGACGTTTGCAGACTTGAATGAGTCCAAGAAGATAGAAGGATTGTCTGTCCCTGTGGTGAATCAGTACAATATTTTTGAATATAAAATCTGAACTGTTATAATAGTCTATTGTATAGTTTTCTTTTTGAAACAATTTAGAGCATTTCAGAGGCGAGCTTCGATCCTGCCTGTCAAGGCCAACCCCAGGATGAGATGGATACGTCCCAGCAGAAAGACTAATCACTAAGACACCTCGAGAAAAAATCTCCCTACACGGGAATGGAACCCGCGTCTCCTGCGTGTGACGGTGAAGGCCGTCGTGTCCGAGTTTTACCCGTGTCGAATGTTATAGGATAGACCGTGATTCTCAAGGCCTGTCGTCTTGTCTTTTCCTGCGCTGTTCTCTTGTCGTCTCGGTATTTTTATAGAAGCACTCCCGTTTCGCGTCACACCCACTACCGGAAGTCAGCTCCTTCACCACTTTAGTGCCGTCGGATATACAAATAAGGTCATTTTTTTTAAAGTTAAGGTTTAGTTTTAGGAATTTTTTTTATAATGCATGCAAAATGAAAGTCCTGAAATGCTATGTTTGGTCAACCCTTCTATATGGCTGTGAATGCTGGACAATCACTAAAGACAGTGAAAATAAAATAGAGGCAATAGAAATGTGGTTTCTTAGGAGACTGCTAAGACTATCGTGGAAGGAAAAGAAATCAAATGAGGTAGTGCTTGATGAAGCCCATGTGGGACGCTCAATGTTAAAAACAATCAGGAAACGACAAATGCAGTTTTTGGGACACCTGAATAGGCATAAGGGTCTTGAACATCTAGCTCTCACTGGCAAAATTGAGGGCAAGCGAGGCAGGGGTAGGCCTAGAACAACATACTTAGGGAACCTAAACAAATGGGTAACAGGGAAAAATCAGGGCAACATAGTTTTTCTGAGAGCATCCGAGCAAACGAATGAATGGAAAATCATGATCGCCGATGTCTGTCGCAGATCTGGCACTGGATGATGATGATGATGCTTTTATAGACATTAGGGGGGTTTCAGGGGTTCCCCCCCCCTGACGTGCGAGTACGTTATAGCTGTGTAGTAGGTCGGGTAGGGGGGGGGGGGGTTCAGAGGGGTCTCTCTCCCCCCCCCCTCCTGAAATAAAGTATCGTAACATCTAAACTAACAATTTGCGACGTTTTTCAATGCCAAAATCGTCTTCACGGCCCTAAAAAAACCATGAAAAGCTACAAAAGAATACCCTTTATGAGACGGGAGGGTTTCTATAAATTTATCGTCGTCTCTACTAGATCTATGCTATGGGCCTACAGTAGAAACTGTTTTTGACCAAACTCAAATCAATAGAGTGCTTATAATATAGAAACTAATAAACACAAAGCACAACTACCTGTAACTCTAACGCTACGAACCACCCATAACTAGACCTCTAGATCTAGAGAGTCATACCGCAAAATCTATTGCTCAAGACTCAAGAGCAGTATTTGCCAATCTGAACGATATCTATAACTTGATCTAGATTTTAATAGTGGGTAGTGGGGATTCACATTGATATGCCGCTTGGAATTGTATGTAGGGAGGCGGTACCAAAATTTGAGCCTCATAAGTAGGCGATGACAAGTGCTACTACTCTGTCGAAAAATTACCTCCTATGACTCTATTGACAAAAGGGTCAGGAAGATGGATACGGTCGTAGGATCGCCTTGCACTTGGTTCGTTGCAGTTTCACACGTAGGGTAGATATAAGTGCCGTGGAAGTAGTGCCAAAGTCTTCCTTCCTTTCTCTACGGCGTTCATTTGTGGTGCTTGTTTCACACTGGTGCCAATTAGTTCTGGTGAAATAGTTTACTGGACCTCTGTGGTCTCATCATCATCTAGTGCCAGATCTGCGACAGACATTGGCGATCATGGTTCTCCATTCATTCCTTTGCTCGGATGCTCTTAAAAAAAACTACGTTTCCCTGATCTTTCCCTGTTGCCCATTTGTTTAGGTTTCCCTAAGTATGTTCTTCTGTGGTCTAAATAATCTTTTTTTTTTATTAACACTATCCGTACGCCATGTTTTACTATCGTATCCATACGATGTGGAGAACTCTGTGCTACCACTTTCTAAAGAGGAAATTTACTCGTTAATCCGAAGCGTACGTTTTGCATAACAGCAGTCTTTCAAAATGATTTTTTGAGAAATACTGAAAGTTTCAAAGAGATCTTCGTACTAGAAGTATTTAAAAAATGTGAAAATCACAACTGCGGGGGTACAAAATGACGCCAGGGCGTCTTCAAAAGTTACTAACAACCGGTAGTAAAAAATATTTATGATAATGGAACGTTAACCTTTTCACTACTGATAGCACTGCTTCCAAATGTGAGGCAGCGTGGTGGAATCAGGCTCTCGTCAAAATAATGAAATCGAAAAAAACAACTGCAGTTTACTCCCTGTTTAGCAATTTTTATCAAATTTTTGTTTTTTGGCTCAACACCTTTTGTGTCCATTTACAAACACATTCCTTTGAGGATTTCCCCGAAAACGTTGATTAAAGGCACAAAAATATAAATTTAGAGTTTCCATGAACTCTCCAGCTTTGGAATTTACCAAGCTTTTGCGTCCATTTTCTCGCTAATTTTACCTCTTAAATCAGGTGACCCCACCTCCTTTAATCCAAAGCATCTCCACTTCTATTGAAGATGGTTGGGTAATTTTTTCATTGAAAACAAGACAAATGAACAAGCTTTAAGATGAAACCAATAACTCAATATGCCCAAAAATTGACGAGAGCCTGATTCCACCACGCTGCCTAACAAATGATCTGCAATTTGGATAGCTGGCGGGCTCTACGTAGGTATGCTTTCATTATAATATTTGGTTGTGTGTGTGTGTGTGGGGGGGGGGGGGTTCTGACAAGTGTGTGTTTGTATGTGTGTGTGTGTGTGTGTGTGTGTGTGTGTGTGTGTGTGTGTGTGTGAGAGAGAGAGAGAGAGAGAGAGAGAGAGAGAGAGAAAGAGAGAGATAGAGCGAAAGAGAGTGCTTGAGTGTGTGTGTTTGTGTGTGCACGTGTGTTTATGTTTACGTGTGTGTGCGTGTGTGTGTGTGTGTGCGTGTGTGTGTGTGTGTGTGTGTGTATGTGTGTGTGTGTGTGTGTAGGTTTGTATGTGCGTGTGTTACACGATTGGGTGTATGGCGAGGAGGGGGGGGGGGTGTGTAAAATACATGTTTTATCTCCTTTTCTCTCTCTCTCTTTCTCTTCCTGTCTGTCCGTCTCTCTCGCCACCGCCTTCTTCCCACCTCATCTCTGACTGGGCTACGTCTCATTCTCCTTTACACTTCCTCGTTGGTGACCTTGTCTGTCCATCTGATCCTCAGTAACTTTCTTAGACACTTGTTCAAGAATACATGGATCCTCTTTAAGTAAGTCTTAGATGCCTTCTATGTCTCAGATCCATACAACAAGACTGACTTCACATGTGAAATGAAAATATTTATCCTTAGCTTTGTTCGAAGTGAGATATCTCTGGTCCTCCAAATCTTATCCAAAGATATGAAAGCAGCCTGTGCCTTTCCGATGCGGAACTTTATTTCAGCACCTGTTACCCTCTGTCAACTACAGTCCGGGCCGGCCTTAAGCACGCCGGCCTTAAACACGTTTCGGACTCAAGCACGCTAAACGGCTCTTACCGAATTTTTGCTATATAAATTACACGCCTTTAAGCACAAGACAGTCCATTCTTTCATGATGACACATCGAAGTTCGAACACAGTTTACACCGCAGCAGTGGAGTGTGTCAAGAGAAACACAAAGAACGCAAGTGATGGACACACACACTCACACGGGCGGAGAGGAAGGCAGAGAGATGCACACAGCCATGCGCGCGGACATAGGATCTAGCCTAGGCCTAGGGCAAAGCTACATACGACCCCCCCCCAAAAAAAAAAACAACAAAAAACAAAAAAAACCCCCAAAAAATTACAAAGAGAGTCGGGGAGATGAGAAAGGGAGGCTGGCTGCGATTTCACCTTTGACACTCGCTATCCATCAATCCTGATTGTGTATCACGCGCGAGGTGGGATGGAGGCGGTGGCATGAGTGGCACAGCGGGCAGTGGTTCGCACAGGAGGTGTGTTACAGTAGACCTAGTGTGCTGTATCGTGCGTCATAATTAAGTATTCATTTCCCATTCGACCACAAAACAAAAACAAACAAGCGAACAAAAACTACCATGGCGGGTGTCTAAATAACAGTGCACACTTTTGCAGGACCGCTATAGGCCTACTTACAAATCAAGGGAAATTACACGGGGAATTTTCTACATGAAAATCTCTGGATTATGTCTACTTCGCACTTAAGCACGCTTCGGCTTTAACTGTTCCCGTAGAAAGATGCAAATTTAGAAGGCCAAATTATGCACAAGAAAAGCAAAATTATGCAAAAAATTTTGCAAGTTAGCGTAACACCATTCACGACATATTTTGCACTTTTTCAACACGAAGTTTCATGATTTTCATGTTTTATGTACAGAAAAATTGAAAACAGAACATACCAGTATAAGTAATTTGTTGTGTATTTGGAAAAGAAAACAATACACACATCAGTCAACAAATTTTTTTTAGAAACCCCCCAAAAATAATCTCTGTAACTTTCAGCTGTAGATCTAGATCTATAGAGGAAAGAAAAATGTATTTAAAAAAAAAAAAAAAAGGACATCTGGACCTCTGATGCTGGCACATTACTAAAACCAGGGACACCTGCCAAACATGAAACATCAGCAGACATTGAGAACAACAACTTTTGATGGATTGAAAAATTGAACATGCTCAAGGAAGAAAATCACAACCCATAACCCAAGATCTTCTAACACGGGAGATAACCAACTTTTCACTTAAATGAGACTTATTACTGTGATTACGTCCCTTACGTCACATAGCGAGGCGTTAATTAATTGTTTTGTGAAAATAAGGAAAAAAACGTGAAAAAACGCGGATAATCCAAAATTATGCAAATGTTGCAGAATTATTATGCGAAAAAACGGCTGCAAAATTGCATAATCCTAGGGGGACAGCTTTAAGCACGCTTAAGCTTTCTCCCGATGACCGTGCTTAAAGCCTGCATGGACTGTATACTCCCAAGATGGCAGACGGATTTTATGTCTTCTAAATGCATTTCCTTCTATTGTGACCTGCTCCTTCCGTGGTACATCTATCTTTAGGATTTATGACTTTCCGGGGTGGACCCTCAATCCAACAGACTCTGATAGGCTGCTTAAAACTAGGGTCTTTGCCTGCATCTGTTCCAGGGTGTGCGACAGAAGCAGCAAGTCATTTGCAAAGTCCAGGCCGTACAACTGTGTCCCTACAAATGTATGCCTGCACCTAATTCCATAGTGACTCGGCTGAAATAATGAAGTGTACCCAAACCACAGACACTGGCATGCATAGATGAAAAGCCTAAACCTTATTACACGACCCAGTTTGTTTTAGTTTTGGTAAGCATTTCACGGCACTTGCAACACAATAAGGTTTATAAGTAAGTGTCGAAGACTAGAGACGTTACAAGAGAGTAACAAACACAAAAAAGGAGGAAAGATCAGGATGATAGATGTTTGAAAGGAAAGAAGGAGCTAACTGCTACACCAGAGCACCCGCTAACCACCCATTTATTACACAACAGAATCGTGCAGATCTACTACTACTAAATATCTGACGTCTGTGGTGTTGCCTTTTGACGCTACACCGTCATATGAAGGAAACATATTATGTTCGATTTATACTTGAATACTTGAATGTAGAACTCGGGTCCTAGGAAGACAGGGGAGTCTTTGATTCTTCGCCCCTCTTCATATGTGAGAGAGCGTGGTCGAATCAGGCTTTCGTCAAAATAATCAAAGTGAAGAAACTTGTATTTTTCCGCAGGTTTGTGAATTTTTATCAAATTTTTGTTTTTTTAGCTCAACACCTTATTTGCCTAATAAATAACTCATTTTTGTGTTTATTTTTCTGAAAAGCGTTGAATAAAAGCACAAAAGTGTAAATTTTCAGT